CTGAACACACTATTCCAAATGTGGCATAACCAGTGACCTATACAATGAAAATATAACCTCCTTAGACTTATATTCAATATTTTTGTAGATACAACCTAAAATATTATTTGCCCTAATACTAGCAACATCACACTGTTTGGGTGGCTTTAGAGACTGATTATCTATCACACCAAGATCTCTTTCTTTCATGACACTGTTAAGGTTATTCCCATCCAAATTATACTTATAATTAAAATAATGTAACCCACATGCATTATCTTGCATTTATTATATTTAAAATCCTTCTGCTATTTATTTACCCAACTCACTAAATGATCTAAATCCTTTTGTAAATCAGCAGCATCCCCTCACAGCTAGCAACACCCAAGACCTTAATATCATCTGCAAATTAAATAATTTATTGACCGTTCCTTCATCTATATCATTGATGTAAATCAAAAAGAGCAAAGGTACTAAGACTGAGCCCTGAGGTAGCCCACTTGTGGCATTAATCCAGTTTGACTGAACTCCATTTGTAACAACCCTCTGCTTTCTTCCACCCAGCCACTCTTCTATCCAGTTTGCTAACTCATCCCCCACACCTATAGAGATAATTTATTTTTTACAAGCCTTTTATGTGGCACCTTGTCAGATGCTTTCTGAAAATCTAGATACATCAAATCTACACTCTTACTCTCATCTAACAAAACAGTAACCTTTTCAAAGAATGTCAAAAGATTTGTAAGGCAAGATTTTCCCTTAGTGAAACCATGTTAACTATCCAATGAAATTCTAAATTTTGTTAAATGACTTTGCAAAGCATCTTTTATCAGACTTTCCAAAGGTATCCAAAACTTTTCCCACAACTGATGTAAGACTAATGGGTCTATAATTACTGGGACAATTTTTATTACCTCCCTTGAAAAGAGGAGTTACATTAGCTAACTTCCAATCCTCTGGTACCTGCCCACAATTCAAGGACTGACAAAAAATAGTAACAAGTAACTCACATATCTAATCATTAACCTCCTTCAAATCCGTTGGAGAAATATTATCTGGCCCAGAAGCCTTATCATTCTTTAACTACCCAATTTTTTCTTAACCAGCTCAGAATTAATGCAGTCATCTTGTTAGATATCGTTTCCATCTATCAACTGTTCAAGATGTAGAATACTGCTTATTTCTTCATTAGTAAAAACTGAAGAAAAAGCAGAATTTAATAACCCAGCCATCTCATAATCATCAGATACAAGACTTCTATTATCATCCCTCAAGGATCCTACCCCCATCCTAACATTTTGTTTACACTTAATATATTTAAAGAAATCCTTACTGTTAATTTTTACATTTTCAGCCAACCTTTTCTCATAATCCTTTTTGATATCCTAATTTCCCGTTTCACCAACATTCTTGATCTTCTAAATCTTCTGTCATCCCAGTCAATTTAAATTTCTTAAATTTATAATGCTTTTCTTTGATTTTATCTCTTATACTCTTTGTGAGACAACGTGGTTTTACTTGCATCTACCATTTTCTTTCTATAAGGAATATGTTTACCTTGAATAAATAAAAACTTATCTTTAAAAATTTTCCACACCTGTCAGTGTCTCCAAATAAATCAACTGCCCAATTCACAACAGATAATTCTTGTCGCAGCCTTTCAAAATTTGCCTTTTTGAAATTTGTATAACCCAAAATATCATTATTCCTTTCTCCATATGCATCAAGACATTAAACCTAATAGAGCAATGATCACTTGTACCCAGATTGTCAGGGTTTTAAATATATATATGTATATGGGTGCGGGCTAAGGATTCTTCTACAGTTGGTGTCTGTGACTTGTTGGTGATAAATTCGAACAATAAACAGATAGCATGCACTCCACTCGTTTTAAAATAATATATATTCTGTATTATCTAATCTGTCTGTATACTGACACAGTAGATTTTGTTCCTCTTTTTTTCTTCTCACCAGTCAGTTCTTCATTTATGTTGACATCTTTGTACACCTCATCTCCACCCAATAGTCTTGGGCCTAGTAGGTCTTTATGTTCTATAACAAATTCGTTGTCTTCAGTATCTGCTTCTATGACAGCCACACCTGCAATCCATATGTATCTGTACCTCAATAGCTACATCTCTTCAACTGATTGGCATGGAAGACCTTGGTCGTCCCATTCACTTTCACTTTATAATGCATTCTTTTGACCACTTCCTTTACTGCAAAAGGTCCTTTCCACTGCCAGATGAGTTTGTTGTTGGTTGTGGGTAGCAGAACTAAAACCTTCTGCCCTACCTTGAAATGTCAACCCTTGGCCTTCATAGAAGTATTTCTGACAGTCTTTGGGTTTGGCTTCCCCAGTAAAACTGCTGTGATAGGTCTAGTTCAATATTCCCTTCCAGTCATCTGTTTTGTAAGTCTTTTTCCTCTTTCTCTTAATCTCATTGTAAAGTTTCTCACTAATTTCATCAGTATCTTTTGGTGGTCTGTAACAAATTCCTACTAAAAGCCTTTTCCCTTTATATCCACTAATCGACATTCAAATGGATTCAGTCTCCTTACCATTATCTTTGATATTCTCAATTCAACAGGATGTAACTCACATTTTACATATAAAGTTACTCCTCCCCCCTCTTTAATACACTATCCCTATTAGATAGCCTGTAAAAGAAATTTCTGTCATCAAAATCATCTACACTTAGCATGTTTCATTATTCTCATTATATCAAAATCCTCCATTCCTACCACTGCTCTAAAGTCATCTGTTTTGTTTCTTATTCAAGCATTACAATAGTAACAATTAAGCCTACCCTTATAACTACTTCTATACTCATTTACTATGCTAAACTTTTCTCTGCATTTTGTTCTTTTTTCATTTATTTTTTCCTGGCCCTCACCACTGTTTAGTCCTAGTTTAAAACTTCCCTTACAGCTGAGTTAGTAGCTGTAGCAAACAAGCCGGCCCCTATTTTATTTAAATGTAAACCATCCATTCCAAAATTCTCACTTCTTCCACTGAACTGATCCCACAAGTCCAACCAGTCAATCTGCTCATTCTAACATGCTAACCTAAGTCTAGCATTTAGCCCAATTGACCTACTTATAACTTTATCTCCACTGTTAATTCTAGACAGTATCCCTGACAAAATTAAGTTATGGCCTTTTTCTTTAAGTGCCTCTATCATCCCCTTGTACTTATTAGTTAGCTCCTCTGACCTACCTTTCCCTACACCATTATCTCCTACATGCACCACAAAAACTGCATCTCTGCTTGCCCCCTAATTATATCTCCTGCTCTGTCAGTTATATCCTCCACCTGTGCCCCTGGGTAGCATAATCTGATTCTATTCTTCCTATTTACCCCAAAATACTGGAGTATGAAGTGAGCTTAAATAATATAAAGGTTTTGGACTTTAAAATCTTACATTAATATTCAAAGATTTTTGCCAGAATGATGAAAATATATGGTACAATGAATTAAACATGAATATCACAAAACATATCAATACCTTATTGTTTGCTATAGTATTTTCATTTCAAAACTAGAACATTGAAGTAACATCAGCAATAGTAATATTTCTCTCTGCAAACAGAACTGGAGCAGACTGAGAAACTCCCTGTTGCCAAGTCTTTGATACTGCAAAGGTTACCAGAAGATAACTATCAGCTTCTCAAATATGTTGTTGAATTTCTTGTCAAGGTACAACAATTTCTTTACTTTCTTGTAAGAACAAAATTAAGAAACATTAACCTTTAGTGTAATTGAAAATCTGCCACAATATTGCTATTTAAAAATGTTATTTTACTGAAAGTAACTATTCCAATATCATTAAGAACTGGTCTTTTAATGTGTGCTAAGAAACGAAATATCCATTAAATTGTAAGCTTTCAGGCTGATAAACAGTTCTTCAAGGTTTACACAGTCCTTGAAGAAGTATAGTACAGTGGATGTAAGTTTGAACAAAAATTAGAAAATCATCTCGGCATCAAATAAAGTAACAGGGAAGAGAGCTTACAAATAAATTAAGAAATGAGAATAACCACTATGCAAGATATGCAATTTTATGCAAACTGATATCACGGTCATAGGCTTTTCCACAAACATCATAACATTTGTAACCATTAAAGAACTTTACATTATTCATTTATCTAAATGTTATATAAAATGCACAGTTCAGTAAACACTTCCAACACATAAGTAATAATATAAATGAAGTCCCTATACTAAATCATTTCTCAAATTAGCCAGAACCAGTTTGGAAAAAAATAATTACAGGTCAGAAATAAAGAAAAACACTTCTTTCTGATTTAGTTTTTACAGTGATTTTAGGCACTACCTCATGAAGGGCCATGACCTCAAACATTATTATCATTTCAAAAGTTACAATATTTTCCATCTTCTTTTCTTTATTTTTGATGAGTAATAACTTTTCTAATTATATTGAACTATCTATTCATATTTTTTCCTTTTTATAAAGCAGAGTTGTCTATCTTTGATGTTCCAAGTTGTTGAAAAGAAGTGGTTGCACCAATTTAATGAAGTTTAATAGAAGAAATCAAATGTGCTCCTTGTCAGATAAAGCTTAAATGATTAACTTTTTATACACAAAATATTAAAGTTTTTAGAGATTTAATGCTTCTAACTTTCAATATAATGTGTATATATTCACAAACTTTGGACATCTTTCAGTTCATATTATGTCTTTCACATACAAAAAATATTTTTAGTGAAGTATTTTTAATAAAATAAAATAAAGATTTGTCCATTAATATATTGAGTATTTGTTTTGAATAGTCCTTATGCAAAGTAATTTTCATGTTAAAATTTCATCTCAAAAATCTCAAATTTCCTTTGTGTAAACCCTAAGACTTCCTAAATGCATTTCAAACGTTTTTTTGTTTTTTTTTTGCAGCAAAACTTTATTGCTTATCTGTTATTTTCTGTATCGTATCTGAAAACGGGATCGGTCAATTCGACCAACCTCTTAATCACCAAATAAAAAATTTAAATAAACCTAAATTACCCTTTTTTTCTTTCTAGAATGACTTAAAATTGTAACATGAAACTACATTCGTTTATTCTAAGTAGCTCTAAGTTCGTAACATTATACATCTAGTTATAATTAAATTTTATTATTTTATTGTCCTTTGAACTGTGTCTAACTACTATACGTGCCATTATAAGTTGTAAATCACTTGAGGAACATGCAACTCACATTACAATAGCGAATTACATTACCCACAAGCTACTCACATGCTTGCTTCATAAACCATTTTAATTATATTATTATTATTATTACTTATTTTACCTAATCTAGTCTTAAATAACTTAAAAAGATCCATATTTTTAGATTTTAGTTACTTTTAAATTAAGAAATAAAGAATAAATATGAAAAACAAGAAATAAAGTATTTACCCAATCTTCTTTTTTCTTGCTCTCGGGTTTTCGAAGAGAGTTAACCCTAATTTTTATACTATAGATAGT